GGATCCTGCTTCTCCCTCTGCCTCTGTCTCTGCCTCTCTCTCTCTCTGTCTCCCATGAATAAATAAATAAAATCTTAAAAAAAAAAAAAACTCTTCAAGGAATTTGCTTAACTGAGTTTAGAATGCACTACAATTGGATAAATGTGGCTTCTGGGTAGAGTGATCTTAAAACCTATTTTTAAAAATCAAGTTTGATATATTTATGAATTACATTATGTAATTATGTGAAGTCTGTGGATGAAAACATGGGTGCTCCCTGCGCCCCCGCCTGCCAAGATTCTTTGGTATTTATTCCTTATTGCTACCTTGTGTGCTTATGTTGCTGGTAGTTGATTTTTTGTTTTGTTTTGTTTTCATCTCATCTTTCTATTGTGGTGAGAACTCAGTGGGCCCTTTTTCATTTGGAAGCTCTTACCTTTCACTTTGGTTTCAAAAGTATGTATTACGGTGATAATTTTTCTTCCTCCTCCTTTTTCTTTTTCTTGGTGAAACATCTGTCATTTAGTTTCTGGACCTTTCGAACTAGTCCTCTAATTTTCAACTGTTCTTTACCATTTTCCATCTCTGTCATTGCTGCTGCTTGGACGGAGAGTTTCTCAGTTTTTGTCTTCCAGTCTACCAAGTTTTTCATTTTACTGTCATAGTTTTAGTTTCTCAGATTCTCTGTTATGTTTTGAATTATTTTAACAGCATCCTTTACCTCAAGGATGCAGCATCTTTTAATTCAAAACTCTGCAGAATTTTGAATTTTTCTTCTCTCTGGTCAGTGGTTGTTTTCTTGAGGTGGTTTTCTGTTTGTTGGGCTGGTCAGACTCCCAAGAGAAAAGTCTTCCAGTCTTCCTCCACTAGTGTGTGGGCTGACTGCCCTTGCTCTAGGTGTAGAGCTGGACACCTCAACCTTCAGTGTGTAAATGATCCCACCAACTGCCCCTCAAAACCCAGTTCTGTAAAGTAGAACTCTTTAGGAATACATTTCTCATCTTTTGCTGGGAATTAAGGAGTGCCAGCTGAGAATAGATCTGGAGCTTCAACTGCTCCCTTAGTGAGAATTAAATCAGTCTTCAAGTCTTAGCCTTTATCCCTGACTATTGCTGCCATTGCCTCAGCTTTTTCCCTGGGGGATGGAATGAGGTGGCAGGGGGAGGAGTCTACAGTGGAAATTGGTTCCTTTTCTCCTGGGGTTAGCTAAACCCCCTGATTGCTCAGCCCAGATGCTTTGTGGTTTCTCAATTGTTTCCTTTCCCATTTTCTTCTTTATGAGTTTTGTATATTTTAAACTCTATAGTATTCTAGAATTTTAGGAGGGACTATAAGTACATGATGATAATCTCACCATCTTTATCTTTGTCTACAAGTTTTTATTCTTTCAAGTGTTTTTAAAACTAAGTAAAACCTGGGGCACCTGAGTGGCTCCAGTGGTTGAGCATCTTTGTTCGGCTCAGGTCATGATCCTGGGGATCCTGGGATCGAGTCCCACATCAGGCTTCCCACGGGGAGCCTGCTTCTCCTTCTGCCTATGTCCCTGCCTCTGTCTCTCATGAATAAATAAATAAAATCTTAGAAAAAAATAAGCAAAACCCTTCATTTTGAAGCAAACATTAGGGGAGATGTAGCTTTCTTTTATTTTCAGTTTTTGGCACTTCAGTTGTTGAATTAAGAGTATACATTTGCCAAAGTGTTTTACAACTTAAAAATGTATTCCTTGAATAAAGCACAATGTCAAATTATACTTTAACTTTATTCTCTGTTCCTATCATGCAATTAATCTCTCTTCCTTTTGAAATCCTTTGGCTTTTTGCCTTTCCATGTATAAAAGTTTCTGTGGTAAGTCTCATGGTATTAGTTTTTATTCCTACACCTTTCTAAATATTTTGGATTATAAATCTTTCTCAGTTACCATTGTATTAGCACCTATATTAGTATCTGTATTTGTGTCTTACATATGTGTATATGGGTATGTTTCTGTAAATATTCTTGGGCTTTGTTCTGCGACACAGTGAAGATAGTTGGGAACACTTTTCATCCTTTTAGATCTTGCTTTTAAGATTTGATTAGGCAGTACCGGAGTAGTCTCAGACCAGGTTTAATTATTTCCTATGACTGAGGCAAGCCTTGTATATACTTGACCTCGTATCTGTGAATCATGAACTCTTTTAGTCTGGCTCTCTGAGGGAACACAGCACTTTTACTTTGGGTCCTGTGGCTGGTTCTTTCTCCAGCCTCTGGTATTTCCTCTGCCACACATGCACTGACTAGTGTTCAGCTTAGTGTTTGAGTGGACCTTGTGCAGATCCCCAAAATTCTTTCAGAATAGCTCTAGTACTCGTCCTGAAATCTCGCTGGGTTGGTCTCCCTGGATTTTCTGTTTAGTCTCCACAAGCCAGAGAGGTAGCCTGGCACCCTTCCCCAGCCTGCATCCTGGAGACTCCCAAGCCAGAGAACTGAGGTAATCTAGGGTTGACTTCTTGATTTGTCATCTCTCAGCCTCATTGTCTTTATTGCCTGACATTCAGAGGCTTGAGAACTGTCATTTCTTGTGCTTTGCCTGTTTTTTATTTTATTTTATTTATTTTATTATTATTATTATTAATTATTATTATTATTATTTTTTTGGTTGTTTCAGCCAGGAGAGTGAATCTTGTCTGTTATTTTTATCTTGGCTGGAAGCAGAAGTCCCCTTACTCCTATGAATATAGACACCTTTTTTTAGGTTCATCAAACTGTACAAGTCATTTTATTAGATCTATCAGAAAATTGATATATAAAAATATATAAATTTTGGTGAAAAATATTGTTAACATTTTTTAACATAAAAATTAAAATCTATGTTTAAAAATTGATTTCTCTTGCCACAGTAGAGATACATTCATATATATTCTATGTTGTTAGCCCTAGAGAGAACCCTGAGGTTCTCAATTTTTTTTAACTCCTTGATACCCTAATTTCCTTTTTTTTTTTAAGAGTTTTATTTATTTATTCATGAGAAATAGAGAGAGAGCACAGCAGAGACATAGGCAGAAGGAGAAGCAGGCTCCATGCAGGGAGCCCAGTGTGGGACTCGATCCTGGTACTCCAGGATCACGCTCTGGGCCAAAGGCAGGCGCTCAACCGATGAGCCACCCAGGCTTCCCCCTAGTTTCCCATTTTTTCATGGTGTCTGTCCCCTAGGCAAGATGAAATACTTAATAGATATTTTTATTGAATAGTTACTTCCAAACAGCTTCATTAGTATTTGAATCAAAACAACTTAAAGTGAAAAAAATTAAATTTTATTCATAAATTTTAATGTTTATTGACATCATTTATTAATGAGATCTCTTTTTTTCTTGGGCACCATTCAGATTAGCAAACATTAGGAGAGCAAACAGTATTTTCATACTAATGATATTAACAAATATGGGCAGAAACATATATTTGACTGTTAGAATTCATTTCCATCCTTATTGGCTAAGGCCCATATATTTTCGTTAGCATGACCTCTGCAAACATGTAAGTTGTAGTATAGGGCTGTTTTATTGTATTAATTTTATTAATTTATGCCAGTGTTTAAATCTCCTTTGGAATCTTAAAATTTATTTTTAAATTTACTTTTATTTAAATTCAATTAATTAACATATAGTGTATTATTAGTTTTAGAGGTAGAGTTCAGGGATTCGTCAATTGTGTATAACACACAGTGCTCGATATGTCATATGCCCCATCGCCCAGTTACCCCATCCCAGAATCTCACAATTTAGTAGTGACATTTAAGAGGAAGGTACAGCCACACGCATTATCTATTGTTACCTTGCACTGAACCAGGTACATGTATCCATACCATTTCTTTACTTATTTATAAATTTACACTTTTATTTTCTGGTTTTAAAAATGATTTATGAATTCTATTACTTATGAATGTGTCTGTGTTCTCTAAAACTTAAAACAAGAAGTAATTGTAAAATTATCATATCTTAGGTGAAAGGGAAATGTAGTCAGCCCTACTTTTAAACCTCCCTGTATATTGGTTTGACTATGTTTCCATAATGGGGTATCCCTCACTAAGTGATTTGAAGACCTCAAGGAGATGAAACATTGATGTTTTCCATTAAGCAAGTACTTATGATTGCTATAAATAGTGACCTTTATAGTTTACTGTTTTTAAAGCAAGGTCTGATGGAAACATATATTCCTTGTAATGATTATAGTGAAATGTTTCCATAATTACTACTTGATACACTTAAATGGCATCTTTTTTTTTTTTTTTAAGATTTATTTATTTATTTGAGAGAGGGAGGGGGAGCACAAGCAGGGGGAATGACTGAGGGAGAAGGAAAAACAGGTTTCCCTCTGAGCAGGGAGCCTGACACAGGGCTTGATTCCAGGATCCCTAGATCATGACCTGAGCTGAAGGCAGACCCCCAACTGACTGAACCACCGGTGACGCTTAATTGGCATTTTTTTTTTACATAATAATGTTTATGTGCAAAATACTTGTCCTGAACTTGAATTCAGCCAGTGTTATTTAAAGTAGTTGTACAGAAAAGGGAAAATCACTGAATTTGAGAATGCTAATGTGGAGTCAGCTCCTAAATCGGCATGTATTAGCTGTGTGACCTCGGTGCTGACTTCAGTTAACCTTCATGACTTATTTACCCCATAAGTAAAAGAGAGAAGAAATAATATGCTTTTTATGATCACCTAAAGATGACTCCATAATAACTTTCTTAGTATATAAGAACATTGCAAGGGATCTGATGGCCTTGCTTACTGTTGTATCTTTAGCATCTGGTTTCATGCTTCGTACATGTAAGTGATCAACAAATATTTGTTGGATTAACTGTCATTTGACCACGTAGTTTCACACCAAGCCTTTTTTCAAGGAAAAGAATTCAAAAGGTTTATAAGGTCATTATAGCAGAATGATGCAAACATAGCTTAAATTATTGGCAACTTGTTAGTGTTATGAAAGATATATTCTCTCTGAGAAGAAAAATTGGTAATGTGTTTTGCAAATTTTTTAGGAGGAGCAGAATAGAGGCAAGCCTAATTGGGAGCATCTTAATGAAGACTTACATGTACTGATCACTGTGGAAGATGCTCAAAACAGAGCGGAGATCAAACTGAAGAGAGCCGTTGAGGAAGTGAAGAAATTACTGGTACCTGCAGTAAGTAATGATTTCCAAATCCTAGATTTGGGGCCCAACCCCGTTTTCCTTTAATTTTTTAAATTAGTGTAATGTTTATCTTAATGAAGAGGTTATTTTTTTATTTAATCTCAAAACATAAATATGATTTAAAACTCATTTATTATAGCATAATAGGCAAACAGACATTACTCAGATCCTAAAATGGGAAAACCTGTTTATGTTGGGGGAAGGAAATGTTGTGAGGGGAGCTAGCTCAATTAGTGTCCTACTTTTCAAAGATGTTATTATTATTGCCTCACTCTATTACAGGATGAAAAAAGTAGATACATTATCAGTAAGGGGATGAAAACCTTTTTTGACAGAAGAGCAGTTTCTCATTGTAAGCAAGTAACAAATGTACAGAAAAGTCCTGTAACACTCCTGTGTTAGTAGGAGTGCATTGTTTGAGTTGGCTGTGAGTTCCAAGTACCCTCCTGGCATGTCATTGTCTCCATCGAAAGATTAATATTCCACAGTGAAATGTTCCCATAGTATGATGAAATTTTCTTTTAGAAAACAAGAGCTAACTTTTGTGGATTCATTAGATATCATCTCAAGCACTTTTCACACTTCAACTCATTTAATGTTTTTTTCTAAGATACTAAAAACTATTAAAGTTCATATTTAGGGGTCTTAGCTAAAACACTGAAAGTAAATTTGGAGGTGATGTCTCATAAAGGAATGACCCCAAATACCTTTGTTCCCGTCCTCCCGCTATTCCATCCTCCATCTTTCCCTCCCTGCCCAGCACTATCCTTGTCTTTTCTTATTACATAACCCTTTAGTAACTCCTCATTTAGAAATGATGGTTGCACGCACTCCCAGAGTATTGTATTTTTCAATGGAAAATGAAAAATAAATGATTGGTTTTCAAAGTCTCTTTAAAAATATTTTTTTTGTTGGTAAAAATGATAGAAATGTGAACCATAACTTGCTACTGAAAAATTAGGAATATTCTTAGTATTCTGTCAAGCAAAAACTTATGACATTTACATAAACAAGTATGGCATCTGTTACTCTTTATTCCCCAAATAATCTATTCTATAAATAAACTTAGAAGCTATAAACATTTCCAATTTATGGGATAAAATTAACTACTTAGAAGAAAAGAATTCCACAAAGATGTTGTTCATTTAGATCTTATAAAGAATATAAACAAACAAATTATAAACTAAAATGTATAGTTTTATACTATTAACCCATATAATTTTCCTCCTTTTCCTTAATAATTGTACAGTTTTGAAAAGCTATATAATAAAGAGCCTTTTTTTTAAGTATACTGAACTCTTCGTCCCGTGACCAGAAAAAAGTTATTTAACATTATTTTATTGCTATATATAGCTGAAAATGCTCAGCTCACATAATACTAAGTAAATAAGTTCACCTAATACAGTAAATAGACCAGTCGTCTGATAATTAAAATTCTTACTGATTTATTAGTTTATTCCAGCCATTCTGTGAACTACTTTAGTTTTAAAAGTTATTAACCTGGGAAAGAGCATCATGTAAAAGCTGTGTTAAGTAACTAGCTTACTAGTTACTAATAAGCTATGTTTCTTTCAGAAAGAGTAAATTTCTATTTCCTCATTTACAAAATGAGAATTGGAGTAAATGACTTCTAAGATTGTCTTTGAATAGACAATAGAATAGGTGGTAGTGGTTAAAAAAAAACGGGAGAAATTTTTTAAAAAGTTCATACGATTTATATTTCAAAGGAAAAGAGCACTTTTGGTGATAAAATCTGTCTCCTATTGAAATTTTTTTAGAATTGTTATTAATTACTACCACGGAAGTAATACAACTCTCTCAGAATTACGAATTATAGACTAAAAATACTTGAAGGTGTATACATTCAATAAAGTAATTTAACCTTATAGAATTTCTTAATCCTATCCATTTTGTCAGATATGCGTATTGTAACATGGCTGCTGTGTCAGGGAATTTATTTTTATTAAACTCAACATTATTAAACATTTCTGGTGATGGTACCCTGATAAGCAAAGGTTTAAATAAAACATAAGCTTTACAATCCTGAAGAATCAAGTGATTTGGGTTTTTACTTATAGGTTGTAGGGAGACAAAGCATTTATTTGAGAGCTGACTTCTGGATTCGAATCCCATCGTTTGTGACTTTTTACTGTCTCCCTTTCCTCATTGGAAACATCACAATCAGTGATTGGGAACATCACTGAACTCTCATGTATTTTTTTTTTAATTTTTACTTATTTATGATAGTCACAGAGAGAGAGAGAGAGGCAGAGACACAGGCAGAGGGAGAAGCAGGCTCCATGCACCGGAAGCCTGATGTGGGATTCGATCCCGGGTCTCCAGGATCGCGCCCTGGGCCAAAGGCAGGCGCCAAACCGCTGCGCCACCCAGGGATCCCTCTCATGTAGTTATTATGAAATTAGATGATACGTGGAGAGTGCTTAGCATAATGCCTACCACAGAACTATTTCATAGATGTTTGCTATAGCTTTTTGACACTTTCTAAATAATATTGTTCTATAATTGTGTAGGTTCACATACTGCTCTTTCCAAGTGCTGATTATAAAATGAATGCATTAATTCAGGATTGAAGAAAAATACAAGTTCCTTCTCAACTCATTATTCTTTTTAAGTAAATTGATTTGACCCTTATAAAAAAATTCACTGTAAGGCTCCTTACAGAATCCTTTAGTTTATCATTACTTAAATATTTTCAAAACGGTATTTTTCAATTGAAAGTATGGACCCATCATGATTTTCTGAAAAGAATTCACACATAAATGAATTGGTTAAGTCTGATTTATTTTTTCCTGTTTGTGTAAGAGTTATAAAGGGAATGATAGGGACACTAGCAGTTATTTAGAAATGTATTATTTAAGATGCCCTCAGATTCAGAATTGCAGAATAGAATTATTGCCCTAACTCAGTGGGATTTGACTAAGGGTTGTCAGAATCACTGCGTGAAAGACAACACATTTCTTATCAACATTTATGTTTTGTCTAACTCTAGGTTGGCCCTCCAGTGAGCTGCCAATAGATCTTTTTAATTCTTATATTACATGAAGACGTTTTGAAACATTTCTGTGGTTTTCATATCTCAAAATTTATCTTGAGAATAGTGACACTCGGAATTTTGTTGACCATTTCATTCTCTTTTTTTTTTTTTAAAGATTTTTTTTAAGTTTTTTTTTTTTTTCTTTTATTTATGATAGTCACAGAGAGAGAGAGAGAGGGGCAGAGACACAGGCAGAGGGAGAAGCAGGCTCCCACCACCATGTGATGTAGGATTCGATCCCAGGTCTCCAGGATCGCGCCCTGGGCCAAAGGCAGACGCCAAACCACTGCGCCACCCAGGGATCCCGACCATTTCATTCTCAAATGCTTATTTAACATTTCCATTAACAGTACTTTGCAGTTTTGCCTTTCCTGTCTCTAAATCTTATATGTCATTTGGAGTCTCTAGCCATTATCAAGTGTCCAGAAAAGTGCCAAATTCAGTCAAGTTTACTTCCTCCATCCCTCAGCTATGCTCACTTCCTTTTGCCTTCATTTTCTTTACCCTTATCTCAAGCCAGTTACTCAAAACCCCACAGCCAGCATTTGTACTTGTTCTTTTGGACTCCACAGACCCATCCTTACATTGCAGTCTATTCATAACCTTATCCTGCTTAAAAAAAACCCTTTTGGTGGTTCCCTCTTAACTCCAAGAGGAGAATGGAGAATTCTTGAATGTGTACAGTTTCCTTCATGACTGCTGTAGATTATCTTCCAGGCTTCATTTTTCACTCTTCCCCAAATCTAAAGTACACACACATACACAAACATTCCCTGCTAGAGCCACAGACTGAATCATTCTGTATTTATTTGATTTCTTGAACCTTTCTTCTCCCTCCTGGACCTTTGAATTCATTCAATAAATGTTCATTGTGTGCATTTACTATGTCAGCTGTTGAGGATACAGAAAGAGTAAATAAAGCTAACAAAGTGCCCGCCATCTTGAAGCTTACCTTCTGGTTGAGGGGAGGGGGCAGCTTGGATTACTGACAATAAGATACACACACACACACACACACCACACACACACACACACACATACTATATAGTAGGTTGTGCTAAAATGTGAAGAAAAATAAAGCAGGAAATCGGGAGCCATGGATTAAGGAAATACTATTTTATATGAGATGATTAGAGAATGCCTCTCTCAGAAGATGACATTTGGGGAAAAAGAAAACCTAATTGACATGTGGTGCAATCATTTGGATATCGTAGGGTTTCTAAGCAAAAAGAACAAGTGTGATGATGCCTAGAGACATTTTTGAGGTGTGTCAAAGGGGGTCCAGTGAGGAGCTTAGTGAGCTGAGAGATTGGTGGGAGGTGAAGTTGGGGAAATGGGGAAATGGCAGTTACAGAGGCCTATAGGCCATAATAAGGATATTAGATTTTAGTCTAACATAAGAAGCTCTTGGAGGAATTTGAGGAGAGGAATAACATGGTCTAATTTGTGTTTTAAAGAATCATTCTGAATAGAGAACAGACACACTTTGAAGGCGATGGAGAAAGCAGAGAGACCAATGCAGAAGCATTTATATTTCATGAATGAGGTGAAAGGAGTGTGGACTAGGGTTGAAGGGGCTGACTAGTAGTAGATTAGGGATTTATTTTCAAGGTAAAGCTGGCAGGAATTTTGATGGATTGGGTGTTGTGTATATGTGAAGACTTCAAGGTTTTTACCCTGAGCAATTGGACTTTTCTCCTCTTCATATTGTTAGAGGAACAGGTTTGAGAGGGAAGTCAAGAAATCGGCTTCAAAAGTCTAAAAATTGAGCTAGCAAATGTTAATTGGGCATTTAGTTATAACAATCTGGGCCCAACAATAGATGGGCCCAGAATATGTCAAGTTTGAAGTTGTCATCATATCAAAAGCTTCTAGAGCCAGGAGGCTGGATGCTATCATCTAAGAATTGGATAAAGGTAAAGAATTAATCTGGGGA